GTGAGCCGGTGAGTTGCGGCAGACTGAGATAATCGGATCTCACTATCGGTTGAATTGATCAAGTTCTATATACACTCAAATCAATAGCTATCACTCTGATTGTATAATAAAAATTTTTATTTTTTTTTCTACATGCCCTATGAGCGGAGATATTGCGACGCAAATCTCTATATTTCTGAATTTTATCATTATTTTAAGGTAGTATTAGCATAAAATGATTTTCTTACAAATGTGCTAAAATTTAACATACAAATAAGTTGAAGTGCTCTTTATGTTTGTGTGCAATTAAGAATATATTAACGTGAAAAGAACACAATGTTTCGATTTTCTTTGATATTAATTGTGGCGACTGAGGGGACAGCGAGAATCTGGCAACACCGGCGTCTATTTGTATTCATTTTCTTTCCGCATGTGCGTGCGACTTTGGATTGGAAGGCACAATCGAAAGTTTTCTCTCTCTGGTGGGAGTGAGGTATCGTCACCAAATCGCGACCAAATTTGATATTGTCGCGCTAATACTACCTTAAGAAACGTCATTATCGTCGTTCAAATGTATGGCTGGAATTTTTAGCTAGAAGGTAAACGTTGGCGAGTATGGTTAGTGTTCCTAGAAGAGAGTTCTCCTCCTGGCGAGGAGTTCTCTCCCTTAACGTTGGCGAGTATGGTTAGTGTCCCTAGAAGAAAGTTCGATAATCTGAAGTAAAATAGCATCTAACATTATCGATCCTACGCTAATTGAAATGATAAAATAAAGTGATAAAATTGATTAAAAAATTGAAAATAATTTTAGATTTAAAAATTATGAATAAGTAAGCCTATACATCATTATAAAGATATTGAATTAAAAATATATAAAAAGATACAGATATTATGTAATAAGAAAGCATCAAAAATAACATTCTAATCTTGTCAATCAGATAATTTTAATATATTGAAAGAAAAATGTACTAAATTTTAATAAATATTTATTCGAATAGTGCCAATTGAGTATTTACTAAATGTAAACTGCGATCACACTTATGAGCGTGGTGCAACTTTGTCGTGCGTTCGCGATTAATATTTTTTAAGATTTTTGCAGATCAAGCCTGGAGCCCAGGTTGCACATTTCAATTTGTCTACCATTATGTCTGTCCTTTTGTTTCATAGCATTTAGACTGCTCACGGAGATATAGAACGATCGAATTCAAAGACGATATTACCTGTAAATCATATAGGGCACTGTAGGACATAGGACTTTAAAACATATTGCCTCATGTTCACTGTTAACAGAGTTTTATTATTATTATTATTACTTGGATATATTAGAAAAACATTTCCAAAAGTAACAATTCAAAATAAATAAAAAAATATATATTTAGATATATACTTTTTTTTTATAATGGGGAGGAAATGCCTACGCCTGTTTCCCAGGGAAGAGGCGGAAGGTTGTATGGGACTTGCACCCACTAAAATTTCCCGAGTGTTCCGCCTTGGGCGTTGGTCAGGGGGACCTGGGCTCGTGTGCAGCATTCTATCCGGCCTCCTCGTGTCCAGCTTCAGCTCGTTTCTAAGGGATCCGATTCCCGAAGGAGAGTCTGTCGCAGACACTAGGGGGTCTGGCCCGTCCCCCGATATGCCCCCTTCTTCGATAGGGTTATACATACCCTGATAGCAAAGCGGAGACAGATTCTGAGAGTCTATCAATTTTTTATTGCAGAAAGGCAACAAATTGTACACAGAGTTTATATTATCAGACAATGTCAGCCAACTACTGTCAAAAATATGATAAAGCCTGCTGACATGCTATACCAGTAAATTGATGACAGAAACAGAATCTGTTCATAACCTGACAACAGATCGTGAGCAGAAACCGAGTAGAGTTTGTTGACGTAACCTGACGGCAGATTGGCAGCAGAAATCGAGCAAGATCTGTCATTTTCACGGCCTCGCCACGAGATGAACTTGTTTCTCGTAAGAAGAAAATGTCCTATAAGAATTGGAATATGTAAATCAAATAAGTAAATCTCCTAGAGCAGTGCTCGCAAAGATTTACACCGATTTCGGACCGATTTTGAGTGACTCTCATTATCACTCGAGGCTTGGCGGCCGAGCTGCCGGTTTGACTCAGGAGTGTCCTTATACCAGAAATATACTTGGAACGCACTTTCCGCCAAATTATTATTGAAACATGTTTTTTATTAAATAATTTATTTCTATTGATATAAAATTTTCTATTGTTAATTTATTATTCATTGTTTCTTAATGATATACTTATATTTTAACGTAGTTTTCTAATATATTACGTAATTATAATAACGTACACATTTCGACGATAGCTTTCCACCTCACTCATAAAGTATTATTGTAAGATGTGCTTTTTTTAATTTGGTTTCCTCAGTAGCCCCCTATTCCACAAAATTAAGAATCAAATATCGAATGTGGCTTGGCAGGAAAGCAAAATTATATATCGTATTATAAAGGGTGTCCCAAAATTAACGCAAGATTTGAATTTGCCGCCATTTGTGCAGTAAAGTGTTGGCAACCAAAAAAAAAACAATTTAACAGCTGATAGTTTAGAGTTAGTGAAAATGAAGCGAAGAGAGTTCGTTGAATGGATTATTGAACATCAACAAATGGATGCTGATTTTTCGAGCAAAATCATCCTAAGCGATGAAGCACATTTTCACCTTGATGGCTTTGTTAATCGCCAAAATTGCCGCTTTTGGGGTACGGAGAACCCACATGTGATTGTCGAAAAACAAATGCATCCACAACGTGTCACTGTTTGGTGTGGATTTTGGGCTGGAGGCATCATTGGACCATACTTTTTTGAAAATGAGGCTGGTCAAGCAGTGACTGTTACTGGTGCTCGATATCGCTACATGATAACACAGTTCTTTCTGCCGAAATTGGATGATATTGATGTGGCCAATATGTGGTTTCAACAAGACGGTGCCACATGCCATACAGCTCGTGAAACAATTCAGTTACTGCATGAGACGTTTCCAGGTCGTGTACTCTCTCGTTTAGGTGATCAGAATTGGCCCCCTAGATCGTGTGATTTAACACCATTAGATTTCTTTTTATGGGGTTATTTGAAATCACAGGTCTATGTCAACAAGCCCACAACCACCCGTGCATTAAAGGAGGAGATTCAACGCTGCATCAACGAAATTCAGCCACATTTATGCAAAATGGTCATGGAAAATTTCGACAAACGAGTGCGTATGTGCATGCAAAGCCGTGGAGGCCATTTGCCCGATGTGTTATTCCACAAATAACCCTATCCTATGTACTTTATGATTCAATAAAAAAATAACAATCAAAAGACTAAAAACTGTGTTTTCTATTTAATTCAAATCTTGCGTTAATTTTGGGACACCCTTTATAAAAGGACGAAAGACCAAAGAAAATAGAAACAGTCAATTTAGGTATATAGACTTTACATGGAGCAATAAACGAGTGCCATTTATCGAAAATATGAAAAGGAGATAACTTTTTGAGGCGATGACATATCGTAAAAATTTTGATATTTCGCATCACGATATCTCCGTTCGTAGGACGCAGAGATAAAATAAACATTTATTATATAATACGGACCTAAGCTGTCGATTGAGCTCATATTCAGAACTCGATTGATCCTTTATTAAAAAACCGATAATTTCGGATGCTCGCAACTCGCTGACTCGCGTAAAAGACACGAAGTAGTCTCGAGCTGCGCGCTCACTTGGTGCGAGACACTACCGTGTTTC